TTCCTCGTTCATGTTTTGTTGTTGTTTATATTATTTGTTTGTAGTGTTTTTTATATTTTCTCTTCCTTGAAAATTCTAGCAAAATGATCATCGGAAAGAGTTTTTTTTTTTTTTTTTTTTTTTCAGGTGATTAAACGATGTGATGTCGAATATCAATAATAGAATCATTTTTGGATAATCCTACAAATTCTAATTGTTGTTTTCTAATATTTTTTTTGAATTTTTCTGCTAAAATATTAAGATCTAAAATGGAAGTTTTACTTTCTGTCAACGAATTATTAAGTTTCTTAATTTGATTTAAAAGATTATTTGTATTTGTTAAATAATTTCTTTTTTTTTTTTTTTTTTGGTTTCTTCATTTTAGGTATCAGAAATAAAGAAGATTCAGAAACTTGAGAACTAATATCTTGGGTATTAAAAATGCGTGATAAACTGATTAACTATTATGTCTCATTAATAGAATATATTGATTCATTTGAGTTTGAAAGAGACTTTAAAATTATTTTTATATATCAAATTTTTCGTAAAGTTTCTCGTAAAGAGAATATAATTCTAAAAAAAATTATTACAAAGAAAATGCCATTTACCGTTAGCATATTGCCATACTTGTCTTCTTTAGTTTCACATTATATTAAAGCTTTTTTGTTTATACAAAGTAAATAGATCTACAAATGATATAGTTGTTCTTTGGGATGAGTTGAAACTTAAAAAAGTAAAAAACATTAAAAAATTAATTTTTTTTATTATAAAAAAAACCTATTATTTAATATTATACTTTATGAGAGGATGAGAGGGAAGTGATCCTAAAAAAATATTTCGTGATCCTTAAACTACATATCTATTTACATAGTTTTTTGTACATAAGTATATAATGTTTGTCTACATTATTCACGTAAATTGGACCCTCCCAATCAGGAGGATTTACGTTATAATGTCTCTCGATTGGCTTTGAGTTTGTAGTAATATGGTTCCACCTCACATTTATAGAAGCCAAATCACATTTATAGAAGCCAAAAGGTTCTGCATCTATAGAGTTAAGATTTAAATTAAAAAAATTTCAAGGATGAAAAAAATTCTAATAATGAAAAATTACAAGCAAACGATGTTGCTGACAATAAAGATATAACAACGGCAACTACTGAGAATTTCATTTTTTTAATATTGAAAAAAATTATAAAGATGATGTAAAAGCTAAAAGTGAGGATGGAAAGAATGGATTATAACAAGGGTTTTTATAGAATTTATGCCATAAGTTAAGGATCTACTCTTCGAGATATTGTTTAGACATAATAACATTTGTTTATCATAATAAAAATATTTGTAAATTTTTATTTGTCATGGCTTAAATTTAGGAAAAGAATATTGTTTGTACAGTACGTATAAGAATAATCCCACAATTTCGAGAAAAACAATTTCTTCTATGAAAATTTATTTACTTTTAAAATAATAAACACTGAGCAATGAAAATTATAAAACCAATTCAATACATAATGATAATCATTATTTTGAGAAAAAATTTTTCTCTGTGATAGTTTATCTACTTTTACATTATTAAACAATAATAAACAATAAACAATGAAAACATTAAAACGTAAAGATGCATGTAAGATGTAAGAATAATCTCATAATTTAGAAAAACCAATTTTCTTTATGAAAATTATTTAATTTTTATATATTCAATGATGAGCAATGAAAGCAATAAAACTAATTCAACTCATTTGCAAAAAAAAGAAGCCTTCAAAAGTCACGATTTTTTGTTTCTCTGATTAAAAATTTTTTTTTAAAAAAAAGATTACGAAGTGGCAGCGAAGTATCATAGATAGCATTCATAGTTGACAAACAATACACGCATTTCTATTTTTTAAATAATTATAATAATTTATATAATTGACCAATAAAGCCAGGCCAGGGTGCCAATTGTCATATGCCTCATTTGTCATTATCTCAATATCCAAAGCCACATTATTCATAATTTTAAATTCATCTCTGATTGAAAATGAAATAATAAATCAGAAGAACTATTTTGATCAGAAGAACTAATTTTGGTCATATTTGAAATCGAGGAAAACCAGCGAGCCCAAAATTTTTTGCAAGTAAAAAGAATAGTTATTTTGTGCAAAAATCAAAATTCTTTTCTGGCCATCATAAGAATAACTACGAAAATTAACAAGAAGTTATTTCGTTTTAAAAAGTTATAAAAATTCACATAAAGACAGAATTTATTCTTATTTTATCATGCATATAAATTGAATCTAAAGTTGACCAAGGGAAATACGAAGAATCTCTTGACTTTTATTAACGTAAAGCTTACAAAGCTTTTACTATTATACTTTGAGAGACTCAGATTCATCTCAGAAAACCATGGAAAATCATGCGCCTCTTTATAAGCATAATGTAAATATTCATATTCAAAACAAAAATCATTGACGTCGTTGTTTTTTTATTGAAAAAGTTAGTTGAAACAACATTTTTGGTTATAAAAATTTCCTGAATACAAATTATTTGTAATACTTTGTATTTGATAATCTCGTTATTATTAAAATTATTTTCATTAGTTTTTCTAAGAAGCTATTGTAAATTTTCTTATTTCGCGATTTGTTAAAATCAATTGCTAAAGATCTCAAAGATCTTCAAGATCAATGCATTGTTATTGCTCATTCTTATTTAACGTATTTGAAGTATTTAATCAAGGGAAAGATAAGTAAATTATATTTTGAAATCTCTCATATCATTCAAGATTTTTAAATTTGATCTTTATAAGAAATGATGGATTATAATTAAATCATTGGGCAAAAAAAGTTTCTTCTGATAAATTTTTAGGTAAAAAGTAATTTTTAAATTATTTTTTACAACTTAATTTTGATATGATGATAATGATACTTTAATATCATTATCATCAAGTCTCCTTTAATACCAAGAATAGTAGGAATAATAGCAATGTAATCTTTATCTTGATCAAAAAATAAAATTTATGAGAAGAACCTTTATTATTATTATTATGATTATTATTATATTTCTTCTGTTAATTTTAATTCTTTTGGTAATCGGTGATGATTAAATTGTGGGAGAAATCATACTTTCATGATCACTATTATAATCACTACTTCTGTAATGAGATTCTTTGATATAAGCACAAATACTAACTTTAAGATAAGGATTACATCTCTTAATTCACTATCATTTCTCGAATAAACACGAGAACCGAATAGAATTATAAAGTTGTAATTGAGCTCAAAGCGATGAATCATCAATTAATGTAATATTTGTTTGATCTTAAATTATTGAATTGTGATGGTGATGATGGTGATGATGAAATAGTATTAAATATAAATAAATGTTTAAGAAATGAATCCGAACTCTTTCTAAATCTTTAGTTATACGAGTTATACGATATTTTGATGATATTCACGATTCTTCAATGAAAGATTACCCTTCATAATAAATTCTATTTGTTTTTCACAATCAACTCAGCATTTAGCTGAGGATCTTGAATAAATTTATCTATTGTGTCATTTCCACTTATTCATTTATCAGGATCATTCATAATCCTTATTTTGTTTTAATTAACCTTTTAATTAAAATGATCACATGAAATGAATGCAGTCGGTACATTAGTGCCATCACACTCACAGTGATCAATTTCCTTAATAAAATTGTGTAATGAAATGATTATTATGTAAATCTCCAATTTTTATTTTTTATTCCGAAAGATGTCTTTACCATATAGCAAAAAAGATTTGTTTAAAAGTGCCTTAAAAGGTCGATTTATTAAAGAATTTGATTATAACACATTTGAAAATATTACAGTAATCGCAAGAGGAGGATGCGGTACAGTTTATTGTGCTAATTCAACCAATTTAGAAAAACTTGTTGCATTAAAAAGTTTGCATGAAAATAACGATGAATTTTGTGAAAATTTCGTGAGAGAGGTAAAAAATAAATACTTTGTTTTTTCATTATTATATATATTTTTCAAGTAAAATTTAAAATTTAAATACAATTTTTTGAACCGCAGTTAACAAATATTATGGCTGTAAATAACCACGACAATATTATTAACTTTTATGGAATCAGCATAGGTATTATTATAAATTTTTATTAAATTCATATCAAATAAATTATCATCAAATAAAATAATTATTATTTAATAAAAATATTATTTAGATCCTTCAACAGAGACGTACTACATAGTGTTGCAATATGCTAGAAATGGTGACTTGAGCGCTTATTTAAAAAAGAATTTCAAAAGCCTTGATTGGAAAACTAAAATTAAAATGGCTAAAGATATTACAAGAGGTCTACGCTATATTCACAAAGAAAATATTGTTCATAAAGATTTAGTAAGTATATAAAATATATAAAATAATTATATGAATTATAATATTAATTGTTTAAATCGTATATCTAAATTCATTTACTTTTAATAGCATTCAAAGAACATTTTAGTTCACGAAGGAAGGCTATTGATAGCAGATTTAGGATTATCTCGATCATTAGATTCCAATTCAAATTCAAAATCTATGGGTGGTGGAATGTTTGCTTACGCTGATCCTCAATATTTACGAAATCCAATTGAAAATAAAAGAAATAAAGCTTCAGATATTTATAGTTTGGGGGTTCTTTTTTGGGAGCTATCAAGCGGGAGACCTCCATTTGACGATTTACCAGCTTTAGAAATATATAAATTGGTTATTTACGGTAAAAGAGAAGCACATATTAATAAAGCTCCAAAAGATTATATCAACATATATTCAAGTGCATGGAATGATGATCCAAATCAAAGGCCAACTATTGAAAATATTTTTGAAAAACTAGAAAATATTAAATTAGAAAATATAAATGACGATTTTAATGACATTCAATTTAAAGTTAATATTAATAACCAATCTCAAGCTTCAATTAACTCATTCAGTAGAGATTCCATTTCTAATGCTTCTTCATGTACTACATCAGATTGTAGGGAAGTTACAGGTATTCCTTTGTTTAATTATATTATAAGTAATTTTAATATTATGATATTTTTATTTGATTGACACTTTTCATCTTAATATTTGATTTACATTTTTAGTAATGAACAACTTCCAAGAATCATCTGCTCCTCCATCCACTCCTCAATCTGATCCTCACAATTACAATGACTATGGTAGCATGGCAAAAGGAAATCAAATTATAAAATATAATTATGATGATTTTGAAAATCTTAAAAATATTGGAAAAGGGATTTACAGTGCAATATTAATGGATGAAAATAGAACAGTAGCTTTAAAATCTATGGTTGTAACTTCTACGGAGTTATTTGTTAACGAGGTAAATACTATTTAGAATCTTCCTATACTAAAAGCCAATTTGCCGAATAATATTTTAATGAATTTTAGCTTAAACGGTATTCACGTGCAAGTTCGCACGAAAATATAATCAGATTCTATGGAATTTCACAAAAAGGTAATATTAAATTGAATTTTTTAATCTTCGTCAAATTAATAATTACTTTTATTAAATATTCTGTATTGTAATTACATACACTTGATGTAGATTTGGAAAGCAATGAATATATACTTGTATTAGAATATGCAAATGGTGGAACCTTACGTAACCATCTAAAATCTAATTTTGAAAAACTTGAATGGAGTGATAAATTAAATCTTGCACAACAAATGGTTAAAGCAATTGAACATTTGCATTCAAATGAAATCATTCATGGAGATCTGGTAATTGTGTAATTAATTTTCGAGAATTTTATTACGAACAATTGATCTTTTAATTTAATCCAATTTTCTTTTATAGAATTCAAAAAATATTCTTCTCCATGATAATGCTATTAAGATTAGTGATTTTGGTATTTCCAGGCTTAATAATGAACCTTCAACTGATTCAATAAATGTTCTGGGGTCAATAGAATATTCAGACCCAATGCTTCTCAAAAGGCAGGGCAAATATTGCAAAACTAAAGCTTCCGATGTATATAGTATTGGAGTTTTGCTTTGGGAAATATCAAGTGGAAAAATTCCATATGAATCTAAATTTCATGATGAATTAGACTTGATAATGTATATTTCACGAGGGAACAGAGAAGATCCAATAATCGGAACTCCGCAAGATTATGTTAATGTCTATCAAGGTTTGTTTCAATCTATTAATAATATCTCAAACTAATTAGCTATATTATTTGCAAATACAAATTAATTACTTATTTAATAGATTGTTGGAATCAAGATCCAAATTATCGTCCAAATATCGAAAAAGTTGTACAAGATCTCGAAAATGTAGATTTACTGCAAGAAAACCAATTAAAATTAAGAGTTGGTTTTTTCTGCTCGTTTTTTTTTATTTTTGTATTTCTTGCTCTAGGTGTTTTTTTGATTTCAAAAGTAGATGACCCATTCTCAACTTCGACTATAATCAACAAAGAACATATCGCAGAACTTTCATCATGGATTGATCGAAAATTAACTACTTATTCTTCAGCAAATGCTCCTTATGAGTTTCAATTAATTCTTCGAGGAAGTAGAGATGATTTTAGTCCCAAGACATTTTGGAACATGTGCCATGGACAAGCCGGCACAATTGTGGTTGCAAAAGTTGCAGGAAGTGATGAATTAGTTGGTGGTTATAATCCTTTAGCTTGGGTTAATTTAACAAGAAATTCTTATATAGAAACAAATGATAGTTTCATTTTTTCATTGAAAAATGGTAATATTAAAAATTCAATTCTCAGTCGAGTTATAAATAGTAGTAAAGCTCTAGAATACTTTGATTCCAATTCTCAGTATACTTTTGGTCCATTGTTTGGTGAGTGTGAATTTATGATGAAATCGTTCGTTTCGGATTTTACTCAAGATAAAAAATGTTTGTGTTTTTTTAGTCCTGGTCATTCTTTTTATGAAAAACCTATTAAAAAATCTTGGTATGAATTTTCTATTGTAGATTATGAAGTATTTAAGATTATTAAAAAACAAATCCCAAACTTTACAATTCGATAATGTAATCTCATTATTTAATATACTGTAACTTTATATTTCAATGATAATAAATTCTATTTATCAAATAAATTAAAACATCACTCTATTTACTTAAAAATTGGGCATTTCACCACTGTGAATATGTAATTTATTTTGTCATTTCTACTTTATTTATTTTTTTTCATTTATTATGTGTGTGTAAACAATAAAAATGTATGCATTTAAATTTTACACATATTTTGCTTATATTTCATTGATGAATTTGTATCGTTAGAAGTGGTATTGGGATAAATAATAAGTTATGATAATAATAATAATATAATAATAATATTTTATGTCTTAATTTAACATACAGTGTGAAACTAAAAGTAAAAAAAAAAAAAATTAAATTAATAATAAATTAAATAAATAAAAATATTCTGCTTTCGATATCATACAAATATTTTCTCCATTTTTAATAATATATCATATATTTCTTATCTCACTAATAACTCACACAATAATTTATTAATGAAATTTCTTTTAATAAATTTGGACTAGAATGTTCAGTCTTTATTAATACTAATTCTTTTTATAATTGAACGAGAAAAAAATGAATAAGAGTTAAGAAACATAAGAATAATAACATACTAATCAGACAAACAACTTTTCATATTCACTGCAATTTCACGCTCGTTATAAATATATATATTAAATTTTATAAATATTTATTTACATTCAGAGTAAATCATGGTACTCCAATGATACCTACCACTACCAAATGTTACTTCTGAACAATCTATCCAAAAAAATTCTTTCTTTAGCCATGCGGATAATAGGATAAATAATCAGTGTTATTATTTTATTATTGTTATCATTGGTGTTAATATTAATAAATATCTTTCAAATCAATTCTTCTTCACTGTATCCTTCACTACATTCTCCATCACATTCTCCACCATATTCTTCACTTTATATTCCATTACTATTTCCTTCAAAACTAGATGCGGATTCTTTCTTTTCTTTTTTTAAGTCGAATTTCTTTTCCGTTTCTTTTCTTTCAATATCCTTCTCTTCGTAGCTACATCTGAAAGTAGATTTTCTAACATCCTTTTCTTGGGATATTAATTTTGACTCATTAAGTGCCAAATGTAATCATCATTTAATATTTCATAAATTCCTATGATATAATAAAAATGATGAATGATAATAATGACATTATTATAAACTATTTTATTTATTTACGAATAAAAATAATATATGAAAAATAGATATTACCAAAAGAAATCCAATTTAGAATAAAAGATTTGAGAAAATATAATCATGATTGTTGTATTTATAGAAATTTTTCGACCTACAAAAAAAATTAATTATTATTTTCCTTCTCAAATCGTAAATTTTGACGAGTTTGATGGTAACGATCATTCAGACCGTACGGAAAAAAGCTAGTTAAAACAAAATAAGGATTATCTGAGAAATTTTCATATCTTTTTAGAGAAGTTGCAGTACAAATTTTTCGTTTAGGAGAAGTCGCAGTATAAAATTCCTTTTTTTTTGTGCTCACAAAAATTCCATATTTGAAGGTCCATTTAAGAAAAATCGTAGTATTCAATTCCTTTTATATTTTTTTAATCATGCGACTGGAATGAAATCCGTAGTTTTTTAGTTTAGCTTATGAAAATCATTTCCCTCAATGCCTAAATAAATTTAAAAAACCTCAGTTAATTAGCACAAAACAAAAATTATCGGAGTCTTTTTTTATACCGTTTTGGGAATAATTGGCTGTGTTTGTGTAGTTTTGTTGATCGTTGTTCTGGCATGGTAATTTGCCGTCTCTGTTTGGGGGAGGGGTTTAGGTTTGAAAATGTCAAACTGGTCCTTTTTTTTTTGGAAATGATGTTTTATTTTTGTGATTTCGTATTTGGATTTTCGTTAGAATTAAGATTTTTCATGTGTCCACAAGAAATCCGGTAGTTTCTTTGGAACGGCTCGTGAAAATCTTTTCCTTAATGCCTGAAATAGAAAAAAAAAACCTCTGATGATTTTATATGTATGTCTCTTTAGGTGATCTGAGAGGCGGTGATGAAAAAAAGTTGATTTAAGATCAGATCATCGATCTCTTTTTTTTTGATCAATTTTTTTTTAAAGGACAGATTTTTTTTTGTTTTAAAGTGAAGCTCTTTGTAAGGTTAAACTCCATTATGTTAAATCTTTCCTTTGGTTGTATTATATTGTGCTAAATTTTTTTACATCAATTTGTTCATTTCAACTACCTTTTAAATAGTTCAGCAGTAATTTACCTTCTTGACGATGTTATTTTATTTTTTTTTTTTTGTAGGTTAACAGATAGGTGATTTGTTCTTCATCAACCTGTTAATTTTTTTGAATGTTTCAAGGATTATGGCACATTATGAGATTGTTAAGGGTGAGACATCATATTTAAATTTTTTGCACTTAGTTTTTGGTTTGTTTGGAATAAATGTCAAATGATATTTACAATTATGTTTTTATTGCCAAGATAGGTTTTGAAGAGTAATCCTGCAAGACCAGTGTTATAAGATAATTGAACAAACAGAAAAAATTCTCTATACTGAATATAATAAACAAATGGTAAAAAAAATCATTTTTTTTTATTGATCGTATCTGTATTAAAGAAAAACTTCTGTTTTCTTTGTTTCAAACTATATCTCAAGATGGTAGTGCAGTTTAATATTTTTATTTCATCAATAATAACAAGCTGTAAATTTTGTAATTTTAATTAAAGAATAAAACAAATTTTATTAATAAACCAAAAATTAATTATGATTAATTTTTATTTATTAAAAGAAAATAAGGAATTAATACATATATCTTTTTTATAAATGTGAAAAAAAATTATAATTTTAATTGTTAATTAAAAAAAGAAATAATTTTAATTAAAAATTTTATTATTAAAGGAATTTTTTATGTTTTAATCTTTCTCAATTTCAATAATTTCTTCAAGACCTGACATATTGCAAGAAAGGTTTGATATTTCTTTTCCTTCTTCAGGTTCTGCAAATTTTGAAAGGGCAATATTTTTTATACCACCTTTACCACTTTTTGTATTTCTTTTTTTCTTATTACTTTTTTCAGATGTATAAGAAAAAGAATAAAAATTATGAAATTTGTAACCTGGCAATTGTAACACAGATGAGTGAGTTGTTGTAGGTAAAGAAGGTATTGTAGAAGAAAGTGAAGGAGGTGAAAGTGATGGAGGTGAGAGTGGTGGAGGTGATAATATAATAGGTAAAGTGGTTGAAGGAAGTAATGAATATGCAGTGTTTGAAATTATTGAAGTACTGATACTTGGAGTTGAAGTTAAGGTGGTAGATGACAATTTAAGTTTTTTGGAGTTGATATATTCATCAAAATCATTGTTGGGTATGGTTCTGGAAGATGGTTTATTTTGAATGGCTGGAATTGTTGTACATGTTACGACATAATCTATTGAGGTACTTTCAATTAAAAAAACAACTTGTTCTTCAATTTTTAAAATCTGTCTTAAAAATTCATTAACTGCATAGGAGGCTCCTAGGTGCCAGACCAAAGACTTGAAATGAATATTATTCAATTTATATGTGATTGTAAAGAAATGTTCCTTTGGTTTATTTTCACTAAATAAAAAACAGGAAGCTTCAACAAAATGAGTTTCTTCACAAAGAAGAACATAGTGATTTTTTTGTTCATTTAGAAGTACTTGGCAAATAAAAGAAATAAATGGTGGTGAACTTGGCATCTTTTCAATATTCCAGTTGCCTTAAATACTTTAATCAATTTATAAAATTGAATTTTTGCTATTATATTAATAATAATATCAAAATGTCTTCTCAATTATCTTTATTAATTTTGATCATACTTATCAAGAAATGGAAATAGATGAAAATTTTAATCCTTTTCTATCTGTAACAATAATACAAACTGAAGCAAACACAAATCATTCCCAAGTTCCACAAAGAACCTTGACAGAATATTCTTCACAAATTATATTACAACAAAATATTCAATCTTGAATAATGTCTAAAAAATTAATAAATTTAAAAAATCATTTTGAAAGTATAATTTTATGTCAATTTCCTTGTATACTATATAGTTATTGTTCCTGATTGTTGTATCCTGATGATGTTCATTGGATATTATATAATCCTGAAACAATATACCCTCTAACACAAGCATTTTCAAATATTCCTTTGGAATTTCATCCAAATCATCAACATTAAAAATTACTATATGTTGCTCATGTATCAAACCATCTACCTGTTGTTCACCTCCAACTTTAGATTCAGTACCAGCTGAAATTGAAGCTGTACCTTTATATCATAGAATTTATTTATCTTATTCATCTTAATTATTCCTTTGAAAGAACTTCAGGATCTAATAATTTTACCAATTACTGTCATTTACAAAGTTCCTTTGAATATTCTAAAAATATTAATGTATTTTCATTATATACAGGTACAATTGGAGCAATATTAAATAATGAAAATAATTTATGGTATCATTCAGCTTTACAAAATGGTACAAATTGGTTATGAGAAATAATCATCATTTTCACACATTTAATCATTATTATACTCATGAAAATTCAGAAAGATCTCCATTAACATTAACTACTGCTAATTTAATTACTAATAACTCAGTCCTCCTAATTTATTAATTCAAAATCAAGATTTTGATAATAAAATTCATAATGAAAATTATTATTTTATATGATTAATGGCAGGTTTTTTAACTGATTCTACTAATAAAGAACTTCCAATACTTATAATAATTCAAATTTAGAGGCTCTTTTATTTCCTGATTTATTTTTATTAAACAAAGGACATTTTAAAGATTGGCAATCATCTTATAAATGTCAAATAAATATTGATACTTTTGATAGTTATATTTGTTTATGCTATACATGTCCAGATTCACGTTTTCATTTAAATTGGTATTGGCCACATATTTCATATCTAAATTTAGAATAATTATGAAATCATCAAAATCATACTTATATTTTAAGACAAAAAATCACTGATCAAGAATATTTATTAACTGTATCAGACTTAATTATAAATAGTATATATTCTAATACTCCAATTATTAATAAAATTAAAACAACTACTATACCTTCATATATTTGAACTGGAAATACATATTGGTGTCAAGAAGAACATCATGTAAATACTATGGTACAAAATTTTGGATTACCTCAAATTTTTTATACAATAACTATGGCTGAAAGTAAATGGAACACTTAAAAAAAATTCTTCAAATTACTGACAATCATAATACAATTCCTATAAGCTACTCTTATCACACATATGAACACTACCATCATCATTTAAAATCTATATATCATTATTTATAGGAAAATCCTAATTTTACCAATTGGAAAAAATGGCTATATCATTTTGAACAAGATGAATTTCAAAATCGAGATGCTATTTATACATATGGAGTTGCTTGGTTAGAAAAATCTGTTCCTCAATTAATTAATGATAATATAATAAGAGCTGATTTACCAATTCCTGAAATTGAACCAGAATTATATAAATTAGTTTATAAAATAATATTCATCACTATAGTTCTCAATATTGTGGAGGTCCAACTTCTTTAGGACAACAATATAAATATGGTTTTTCTCAACCTTTATCCACTATTACATATCATAATTTAAATAATACACAATATACTTATCGTCGAACAAAACCAGAAGATCAATGGATTGTTTCATATCATGCACCAACTTTATTATTATGGGAAGGACACTGTAATATTCAATATATAACTGACAAAAATTTTGCAAAATATATTTGCGAATATGTTACCAAACCTGAACAAACTGACTTATTTGAAATTAATGAATTCAATGCTTTTAAAAGACATATCCATGCACGAAGAATGGGAACAATGGAATTAACCATGCTAATTTTAGGAAAACCAGTCTCAAGAAGTTTGATTGCAGTTATTTTTTTACCATCAACATCTCCTTCAAATAGACGTCGTTCAATTCGTCCTGCATATTAACTAATACAAAATTTTGAAATAGATCCTTATTATGATAATGCTATTGAAAAATACTTTAATCAACCCTGTGAACTAATATTTCAATACATTACATATCCAATATATCATCGTAAATTTAAATCAACTTCAACTATACCTATCTCAGGTTCATATTGGTTAGATTAACAAAATAATATTATTGTATCTTGTAAAAAAAAACTCTTGTAAGATTTTAATATTTAACAATAAAAGATGCTGAAGATTATTTTTATCAACAACTTTTATTACAAATACCTATTTGGAATGATGAATAATTAATAGGTCAATACACAAATTGCAAATCAAGATTTCAAGCAGAATTTCCACACATATATCAAACAATAACTACATCAATTCAACATACTTCAGAAATGCACATATTACAATATTCCCAAAATTATCAAAACCTAATAAATAATTTAACAGTTGCTTTACATGATAATTTAAAAACAATTATTGGAAATCAATTACTAAATTTAATTAAACCTATGAAAACTATTTCATTATTTTCAACCTTACTTATCTCAGAAGATCAATATGAAATTTATAATATAATTACAAAATGTTGGGAACCATCATATCCAAATAATCAACATCCATTCTTTTTCTTAACTAGTTCAGTAGGTACAGGAAAATCATATATAATATCTCTAATAGTTAAATATTTAAAATCAAAAAATAAAAATTTTCTTTTAATGGTTCCAACAGGAGTGGCAGCACAAAATATTAATGGTAAAACTATTCATTCAGAATTACGATCTCAGGAAGTTCATATAATTATCAATTATTAACTACTTATGATGATAACTTATGTAATAGATTATGAAAAATTCAATTTATTATAATTGATGAAGCATCTATGATTTCTGATGACCTTTTAACATTTATTAGTAAATTATTTGAAAAAATTCAAAAAAATTCTTTAGAATTTGGTGGAATTCCAGCATTATTAATTGGAGACTTAGCTCAATTATCTCCATTTAAAGGTTCACAAATTTTTATTTCTCCAGTATGAAAAAACGTTTTTTCACTCTTTCTTACAACTGCATATTAACAACAAAATGATATTGGATTTTATAAAATGTTACAAGAATTTAGAAAAGTTAATCTTAGCCAACTAACAATTAATTTAATAAACTCAAAAATAACTACATCTCAAAATAATCCACTAGCAACAACATATATTGTAGGATATTATAAAACTGCAGATACTATAAATAATTATATTGTAAACTTTTTACCATCTCAAAATGAACAGACAATACTATTAATCTCTTATTCTATTGATTATATCAATAATCAGATATGGACCACATCTGATGATGATAAATTATTCTGAAGATATACAAATTTCTTATCTAAAGTTACCTTAGTACAAGGAGCTAGGGTTATGTTCTTACATAATTAATTATTCTCAAATGGATTGTACAATAATTCTATTGATATAGTATTAGAAATTCTTGATGATGAAAATATAATAGTTGCATTTCCATTAGCCCAAGGAATTTCTTGTACAAAAGTTGTAAAGAAACAGTTTACTTCAATATACATGGTTCCCACACACAACGAAAACAATTTTCACTACAAAATGCATTTGCTCTAACTGTACACAAAATACAAGGATTAACATTACCTCATTCTACAGTCTCAATTGATGAATCTATGTTTGCTACTGGTTAAGCTTATGTTGCTTTAAGTCGGTCACCATCATGGGAATCATTAGACATTACATCATTTGATCTATTTGCAATTAAAGTTGATGAACAAATATTAATTGAGTATCAAAGGTTGAATGATATTTTCAATAAGGGAATTAGTGAATATACATGAAGAATCAATAGAACTCATGAATAATTACCTAAATTAAATAAAAACACAAATTATAAAACAAGTATTTTATTTAAT